TAGGGATTTGGCCAGAATAAACATTTACTGTTTTGTTTGTTTTTCGCAAATGTGAGCCTGCCTGTGTAGTCCCTTACCATCTACTTTGTTATTCATTCTGATGTTTCCATTGTGCGGATGTGGCAGTAGGGCCCTGGAGCTAGTTCCTTTGTCCTTGCAACATACTTCATTATTTTTTCTGTACTTGTTCACTATTTTGTTTTGGTTCTAGGGATTGAACCCAGCAGTGCTTTACATTTAAGCTACATCTCCACCCCTTTTAAAATTTTGAGACAGGATCTCACTAGATTGTTTAGGGCCTGCCTTGCTAAGTTGCTAAGGATGGCCTGGAACTTGAGACCCTCCTGCTTCAGTCTCCTGAACTACTGGGATTACACGCATGCACTGTTGTACCTGGTTTGTTTACATTTTTGCATAAATTGTCCCAGCTCTGGGATGGGTGTTGTCAGATCTGCCTTCTCAGGGTGGAATGGAAAGACCAAGATCTGACCCAGGTAGCTACCCCTAGGATCAGCCTTGTGACAAGGTCTTTGTGTTTACTTTTGGTTTTCTAGTCCGTGTTTTTTTTTTTTTTTTTTTTCAATACTCTCATGTAAAACTACAGAAGTAAATTGAAAACCTTCCCCTTAATGTGGTGTGGAGGTATAGGAATGGTGAAACCCACCTGTCCTGGTAGCTGGCCAGGCCCAGAGCTAGTGTCAAGAGAGGATGTAGTCACTCCCCTCTGCCAGCCGAAGGGCAGCACTGTGACCTCCAGATGGCCACTGCAAGAGGAGGATGGCACCTGACAGCTCCAGCTTCCCTGAGGCACCTTCTCCTTTGCAGGCTACTATGTGGGCATGTGCTGTGCGGCTTCAGAAAAGCGACTCTACTCCCCCAGCCATGCCCCAGAGGCCTGGCAGCTCTTCCTCCTGCTGGCTGTGACCCTCCCTTCTGTTGCTAGCATCCTGATTTACTACTGGTCCCAGGACCAGTGGACCTGCCATCCATTGGCCCGCACCCTGGCCCTCTATGCCCTCCCGCAGTCCGGCTGGCAGGCCGTGGCCGCCTCCATCAACACTGAGTTCCGGCGGATTGATAAGTTTGCTACTGGTGTGCCAGGTGCCCGTGTAATTGTGACAGACACATGGGTGATGAAGGTTACCACATACCGTGTGCACGTGGCCCAACAGCAGGATGTACACCTGACAGTGACAGAGTCTCGGCAGCATGAGCTCTCACCAGACTCAAACCTGCCTGTGCAGCTCCTCACCATCTGTGTGGTCAGCGCCAGTCCTTCTGTGCAACCCTTTGATATCCGGTAAGTGTGTGGTGGCTGCGGTCTGCTGCAGGGTGTGGCTTTCATTGCCCCTTGGGAGGCACTGGGTGTGGTGGTGAATGCTGCAGCACTCCTGGAGTCTGTGTGCTTTGGGTCATCTGACCTTCCAGCATCACCCTCCTTCAGAGATCTTGCTGCTCTCAGCTTCCCCATGTGCTGCTCCTTCTGCTCTCTAAGTTTCTGCAGTTTCTTGGAACACATTTAGGACAGCCCAGGACCATGATTTGGTGTCAACTTGGCTCCCAGCTTCTCCCCTCCTGGCTCTGGGGGTGAGTTTATAGGATCTGGCCTTAGGGCCATCATTGTTGGCTGCTGTCCTGGGCACCCTTCAAGGCAGCTGGTTTCCCTGGACCCTGCCTGCCTCTGGGTCCTGGCTAGCTCCAGGTCGAGGCCCCTCAGGCAGAGGAACCCAACCCAGCAGGCTGCATCTCCTGCAGGCTGAACTCGACAGAATATGGCGAGCTATGTGAGAAGCTCCGGGCACCCATCCGAAGTGCCGCCAATGTAGTCATCCACCAGAGTCTGGGTGACCTATTCTTGGAGACATTTGCCTCCCTGGTGGAGGTCAACCCAGCCTACTCTGTGCCTAGCAGCCAGGTAAGTGCTAGCTTGAGGGGAGGGTTGGATGGACCTCACAGAACATGTCACCAGGCTCCTACAGCTCCCTATGCAACCCCTGCAGGAGCTGGAAGCTTGCATTGGTTGCATGCAGACACGTGCCAGTGTGAAGCTGGTGAAGACGTGCCAGGAGCCTGCCGTAGGCGAGTGCCAGCAGTGCTACTGCCGTCCCATGTGGTGTCTCACCTGCATGGGCAAGTGGTTTGCCAGCCGCCAGGACCCCCAACGCCCTGACACCTGGCTGGCCAGCCGTGTGCCTTGCCCCACCTGCCGAGCTCGCTTCTGCATCCTGGATGTGTGTACTGTGCGCTGAGCTTCCCAGAGGATGTGGGTAGGGCCTTGGAGATCTGGAATGGACTCTGTGGCCCTGCCAGCCACTTGCCCCTGCCAGGGAGTGGCCATACCTCCCTGGCCTTGGCATAGGGCTCTATTCAAAGCACATGACCTGAAGCCACTCTGCCTTGAGCATACTGTATGTTGAGGATATTTGTCTAAAAGAAATTTTCATCAGAGATACTCTATCCCCAGGGACTTCTGCACTTTCTCTTTCTGGCCACCTTCCTCCAGGTGAGGGCAGGTACTCAAACTGAGAGCATTCCAGGGCCTCCAGAACCTAGGACTGCCTTGATGACCTTCACCTGGCCACTTTGCCTTAACTTTACCAAGCACATCTATCCCTCAGTTATGAGCCAGACTCATGTCCGTTCACCCAGGCCCATTCTCTGGCCCATGTTCTGGAGCTGGCTGCTGGCTCTGGTGTTGGGACAACTTCCCCAGCCATGGATACTGCTTGGAATAATTGAGGTGGAGCCCAACTGTGGAAGTGGAGATTTGGGGTGCCACTCTAGTGTGAAGGTCCAAGCTGGGGCATTTTGGTGGCTGCAGCCTGCTGAGAGGCTACTCCTGGATGAGGAAGCAGGAGTAGCAAGCTGGGGTCAGTCCACGATGCCTCCACTCACTCCTGGGGACCAACTAGCACCTGGAGGGTATTCACTGTGCCCTGGTGTATTTGGCTCCCATGGTCCACAGAAGACTGAGGCATCAGACTTGGCCCCAGGACAGCAGGGAGGATGTTGAGCCACAGGGACATCCAGAAGTCAAGCCCACCAGGGACAAAGGACAAGGCCAGTCACTGACTCTGAGTCTGCCTGGTTCTGAAGAGGTACTCCCAATGGTCAAAGTTCTGATGGGCATGCTGCCCTACTGATGATTTGATGGTTCAGGTGGGAGGGGAAGAAGTCACCCCCCACCAGCTCTGACACAGTGGTTGCTGGAGGGAGGCCCTCCCATCTGTGCCCTACACCTTGCTGTTTCAAGCAGGCATGAAGGATCCAGCTAGCCCTACTTATCCAAGGCTGAGCCTAACCCCAGGAGGTTTTCCAGCAGAGCAAGCTGTTTTGGGGAATGGGGGTTGGTGGCAAGGCCAAGAGCCAGTCACAGAATTTCAAGGGCTGCCTAGGAAAGGCCAGCAATTTGGGGGTTGTTTTTACCAAAAAAGGAAGTTTGTTTTATACAGATAAATGTAGCTAAATGATACTGTACTTAATAAAATATTAGTTTGAAGTGCTGTGCTTTATTTTACTTTTGATATTAAAGCCAACTTTTGCTAGGTGCTAAGGCCCATGCCTGTAATCCCAGTGACCAGGGAGGCTGAGGTAGGAGGATCACAAAATTTTAGGCCAGCCTCAGCAATTTATCAAGGCCCTATCTCAAAATGAAAAAAAGTAAAGAGCTGGGGATGTAACTCAGTGGTAAAGTGCTCCTAGGTTCAAGCATCATTGCTGGAAAAGAAAGCACCAAGCTTTTGTCACAGTTGGGGTGATGGCTGGAGAATATTAGGAAAGATCTCGCAAACTGATCGTTGTGCAGTGTTCAAGACAAGAAGGAATGAACGTGTTCCTGGTGTAGGAACTCAAGGGAGGACAGAGAGTGAGACCCATCTGCCTTAGCCTGCGGATGACCTTTTTGAGTTGGAAAGGGAGGGCCCGGCATCAGTCTCCAAGGCCGCCCCTGGGCAGCAGATGCCAAAGCCCGGGTGTGGGAAAAGGGCTTTGGAGCTGGGCACAGCCTCTTTGGCCTCTGCTTCCGCTGCTGCTTAGGCGGAATCTGCTCGCAACCTGCGCGAGGACAGCACGAGGTCCGGTGCACTTCACCCTCCTTCGGCCCCTAGCCAGGTACAGGGTGGACCGGTTCCTGAAATCTACCACTATTATGCCCGGGGGCGCTAGAACAGGGGCCCAAAGCCTCGGTGAAGCAAGCAGGCCGGCGGTGCCATCGCTGCTGCCTGCATCTAGGGTTGCTCAACCACTGAGCTACATCCCCAATCCTTGTTTATTTTGCGACAAGATTTCGCTAAATTGATGTTTGACTTTGAACTTGGGGTCTTCCCTGCCTCAGCCTCCCAAGTTGCTAGGATTACAGGAGTGCGCCACCACGCCAGGCAACGCCAAAGTTTATAATGGCTTAAAACAACAGACTAGAAACCCAAAACCCAAGGCGGCCGTAGGATCTGCGGACCAAAGCCAGGCCGTACTTTCCGGGTTCCCGCCGGCGCGGAGACGCGCCCCAGCCCGGGCCAAGCCAATCAAAAGCCCGCTCCTTTGGTCGGGACCAATCATTGGAGCGCCCGCTCTGGCGGACCAATAGAAAGGCAAGTCGCACCGCCTATTCCGTGTGGCCACGGCGCGCGCGTCGAATCTCCCGCCAAGACCCTTCCGCCCGCGAAGGCGCGACCAATCAGCGCCCGAGCAGCCGCGGAGCCGGCCCTCTGGAAGCCAGAGGGGGGTATTCTGTTCCTCCGCCTCTTCTCAGCTAAGCCAGTGGCGTTGGCTCGCATTCTTGGGCGGTAGCCTCCGGCGGCGAGGTCCCACGTCTCCGCCTGGCCCTGGGGCCTGGGCCCAAGCCTTGTCCGCCCGCAAGGAACACGTAGCGGAGCGGGGATCCCCCGCCGGCGCGGACCTGGTGGTGTCTTCCGACACCGCGCGCGCGGGAGCGCCGAGGGCGGGGCAGCGCGCACAAAAGGGCGGTTGGGGCGGGGCGCGCGCAGAGCCTGTCCGCGCCGGCGCCGAGCACGCTGACCCCGTTCCTGCCGCCATGGCTTGTCGGCCGCGAAGCCCGCCTGCCTACGGGAGCCGCCGCGACCGCGGCGCTAGGTGAGTGGGCCCCTGGTGGGGTCTCGGGCCTGGCCGTGTGCGGCGCGGCGGGTCCCGGGGCCTGGCTGGGTGTAGGCTGGGTCCCCGCCGTTGACCGCGATCTCTGTCTCCGTAGCCCTTCGTCCCCTAAGAGATGGAGCCTCGGGCGGAAGCGCAGAGCGGACGGGAGGCGCAGGAAGCCCGAGGACGCGGAGGAGGGCCAGCACCCGGCTGATGACCGCAGACCCGCGAGGTGGGCCTCGCAGAGTGCATGCGACGTGTTGCGGGGGCTGGTCTGTGTGCCCCGTTAGGCGGCGCCAGGTTAGGCAGGCGGGCTCTGGGTCCCTTGTCTCTGCTCCAGGCCCGGGAAGCATCCTCTCCGACAGGTGGCTGCAGAACCGGTTTCAGCCCGAGTTGATCACTTCGTGAACCTCTGGTAAACCCTGAGACGGTGCTGGGAGCTACTTGAGGATATTTCTTTAAAAATGATCTAATAACTAATAGCTTGTCAGTTGTGTTTTACTTTGAGCAGATTTTGCTAAGGTATGTTACACCGGAGTAATAGAGGTATTACGTAAAAGCCAGGATGAAAACCAAAAGTTAAGCTCCAGGTAGCTCATCTTTTCCACGCTGGTGCACCCAGGAGTCTTGCCATTTTATGGCCTGTTTGGTGTCTGCTTGACCCAGCATTTTCTAGGTTAGGCACTTCTGGGAAGGTCAAGATGTGCACCAAGCAATGTCTCTAGGGACTTGGACAGCAAGTGGAACAAGATAGTCCAGAGGGACCAGGAGTACCCGAGGAGAATGAGCTGGTGATGGGCTGCTCAGGGAGAACTTCTTGAGGGACTCTTTGGTGACTGGATGAAATGGGAAGTGATCCCTGTACCACATTTTATTCCTAGGCCTTCATGTGGGCTCGAGTGGCCTGAGAGCTGACTAGAGGACAAGGACAAGGCTGCTACTGAGCTGTATGAAAGGACATGGTGATTAGGCCAAATGGGGGTAGCAAGGTGGTGGGGAACACTTGTTTAGTGTGGGCCCTTGAAGGTAGGACCTGGAGGATTTGTTGATGGCTTGGGGGCTAGAGGAAAGAGGAGTCAGGGTGACTTGAGCCTTCAGGCCTGAGTACCTGTGTTGACTGCGGAGTCTTTTGCCTAGGATGAGCAGATCTCCTGTGGGGAGGGACTTGGGGATTAGGCTAGAGGAGGCAGTGTGAGTCACCAGTACATATAGATAATGTTTAAAGACTGGGAAGAGGGGTGTGAGTAGGAGCCCTAACTAGTTCTAGGCTAGGTAGAAACGGGAGGCAACAAAGCCTTACTGAGATCAAGCTCTAAACCTTTCCCAGTTAAATCCTTACAATGTCTAGAATGCCTGATAGCTGGACTCAAACCCTCAAGCAGATAGGTCAGCTGCACAGCCTCATTCCACCAACGTAAAAGGAATACTTCTGTCCCTGGGCCTTTGCACTTGCTGTGTGTGAACTAGCTGTATCTCCATGCTAGTCATGTTGGGGTAGGCAAGAAGTGGTCCCTTTGGGAAGAGGTTAGTTCAGTGTATAAAATAGGCTTTGTTGTTTTCAGATGGGGTAAATTGGGCATCCAATCTGCCTTGTCAAAAAATGTGCTTTAGGGGCTGGGATTGTAGCTCAGTGGTAGAGCGCTTGCCTAGCACGGGAGGGACCCGGGTTCGATCTTCAGCACCACATAAAAATAAAGGCATTATATTGTGTCTATCTATACCTTGAAAAATAAATAAATAAATTCTAAATTTTTTAAATGCGCTGTAGCATTACAAAAGGTTCCAAAATATGAGAGGTGGCATAAGATCGCTTGTGTATACTCTTTAAGCTATCCTTGTGGGGGATCTGGAGACCCAGACCTGGACCTCTTGCTATACTACTTGAGGGCTTTGCAGCCTATGGACAAGCCTCCCTATGCTTTACTCTGTATTTACAATACAGCTATTGAACCAGATTAAATTGTACTTTATTACTTGTTTTGATTTCAGGCTTTCCTGACCATTTTTAAAATTTAACTTAAGGTTCTCAGGGGTGACTATGAAGGAAGTTACATAAATAAATTATTGTTGCAGTTATGTTTTCCAAAACATGCCATTTGATTTGTGACTATAACACCTGAGGTTGTTTATTTGTTGGAATTAGTGTCTAGTCTAGTTTTGATACACCAACAGTAGTCAATAGAAAGTTGGAGAGGAAAAATAAAAGATATAAATTTATATCTAATATAAATAACAGACATGATGAAGATTCTGGCTGCCAGAAGTTTTGGCATCAAGCCTTGATAGAATTGAGCTCTTGGGTTAGGTTTGACTCAACTGTAAGTGTGCACTTTACTGCCCTAGTGCAGCAAAGGAGCCAGACAGTACACTTTACATCCACAAGGTAGTTGTGTGTATAATGGGTTCTGAATCATGTGTGCCTGAAAGAAAAAAAGTAGCCACTCCACTTGATTCTTATGTGTGCCAGACACTACATAGCAGTAAGCATGTTATCTGAAATCTTTTTTATAAAACCATGATGTAATGGTTTCTTTAAGAACAAACTTCAGTAGGTGCCCTTCTCAGTATTCCCAGTGCTTTGTTGATTTTTCCTCTTCCCTCAGTCGACATGCCTCATTGTCTAGCCAGTGTTGGCTTAAGGTGGGTGGGCAGAAATCATCTAATGGAGCCCAGAAAGGCTTTAAGAGAATTGCCCAAACTCAGTGACCTAGTCAGTTACAGAGTAGAGATGCTTTCATATCTGATTCAGCCCATTCTGCCAGATGGCCTCTGAGTGTTTCCCGACAGTGTGAAAGGGAACTGGAAGTGCTCCTGAGGTCAGATGGCCTTTCTGTTTTGTTGCAGTTTCACCACTCCTGAAGGCCCCAAGCCCCGTTCTCGGTGTTCAGACTGGGCCAATGCCGTTGAAGAAGATGAAATGAGGACCAGAGTTAACAAAGAAATTGCAAGGTACACATTTTGGACCACATTAAAATGTTTTTGTGGCTTTTGAATCTTACACTCATTTCAAGGTGTGCCTTAGAGCAGTGGTTCTCAAAATTTGGTTCCCAGGGTGAGGCTGTGGCTCGTGGTAGAGCATTTACCTGGCATGTGTGAGGCCCTGGGTTTGATTCTCAGAATCACATATAAATAAATAAAGTTCTATCAACAACTTTATCAGCATCTCCCGGGAGCCTACTTTCCAGGGCCTTAGTGGCGACCCTTCCAAGCTGTGGGTGGTGTGAGGAGGCAAGTGCTCCACCACTGAGTTGCACACTCAGCCCAGCTCCACAGCCACTGACTCTATCACCACCGTGTGCCACTCAGGTGAGGAGTTGTTCTCGATGGTGGCCTGGCTTGGTCTTCATGCAAGATGGTCCCTTTCCTTGCCTCATTGCATCCAGACGATAAATCCCTGGGTCACATAGTGGGCGTTTCTAGTCCCTCCTCTGCTTTTGCCCCTCACCATCCAACCCCAGCCCGGCTGGCTGAGTTGGTGTGGTTTGTTGCAGTATGTTGGATCAAGCAGGAGACAAGTAGGTGGGAGCAGATCTGTTAGCTGCCTCTGATGAGGATGCGTCTTGGGATTGGCTGCCTGTCCTCATCTGGCTGATGACGCTGTCGAGGGTTTTCCTTTTGGTCTAGAGACTCTTTGTGTGATGTAGGGTGGTGTGCCTGAGAGCATTAGGACAGTTTTTTTAGACCTGGTTGCTCTGAACTATGATCTTGGCAGATAACCTTTGTTTTATAAGATGATGTAACTGAGGTTAGTTTTGCATTTAAAAACAACAACAATATGCTGACTTCCAGGGAGAAGGCTGCATTCCTGGTGGCTGTCAACTCTAGAAGCATTGCTAGTTTTTAGACCTTTAAAGAAGGTCTTTTTTTTTTTCTTTTTTTCCTCCCTCTCAGATATAAAAGAAAACTCCTCATAAATGACTTTGGAAGAGAGCGGAAATCATCATCAGGAAGGTACATGCTGTGTAAACATTTCTTTGTAATTGAATTGCAGATTGTCCTGATAGCACTTATTGATTAGCCGGTTCCTTACTGATTTGAAATAGTTTCTGTTGTGTACTAAATCCCCAAATGTACAAAGGTTCTGGGCTGTTCTGGGATTAATATGGTTTGGAACCCAGAGGATGATGATGTTCTAGCACTTTCTTGGCATAGCTTACATGGTGATTTTTTTATGCCAGGCTTGTTCTTAATCTTCCATGTTTTCAGTTCTGATTCAAAAGAGTCAGCATCTACAGTGCCAGCTGATGTGGAGACAGATGAAAGTGTCCTGATGCGAAGACAGAAGCAGATCAACTATGGAAAGAACACTATTGCCTACGATCGCTATATTAAAGAGGTCCCCAGGTAGTCTTGTCTCCTTGGCACTTCCTAAATCAGCCCCACCATGCCTTGCTGAGAATTGTCTGTCATTGACTCACAGGAGCTTGTGTGCAAATCAAGGAGAATAGATTGGTATCTGAAAAGCACCCAAAATAATAATAATGTCAGGTGGTATGCTCATGAGTCCTAGTAGTCTTGCAAATACAGTTATTAAAACGTATAGTGGGGGTGGGGACTTTGGCACGGATCCTGAAGATGTAACCAGAGGAAATTGCCCGCCACTCAACCCTGCTTCTCTCAGGCAGCATGTCCTTGCCCCTCTCTCCAGGCAGACACAAATGGATACAGGAAAGGCTTTTGAATTTTCATGAAGTATTTGGTAACATTAAGATTAACATTTACTTTTCTGGAATAGATTGCAAATAAGTAGTGCTTTTTTTATATGGCTGGCTCATTTTGTAGACTCACCTGATCTGTATTTTGTCAGATAGAGCTGATCTCAGAGCCTGGCTAACCTAGTTATTGAGAAATGTGAGAGGCTTGTGTTGAGGTGACCTTATTCCCCTGCAGACACCTTCGACAACCTGGCATTCACCCCAAGACCCCCAACAAATTTAAGAAGTATAGTCGGCGTTCATGGGACCAGCAGATCAAGCTCTGGAAGGTGGCTCTGCACTTCTGGGATCCTCCAGCTGAAGAAGGCTGTGATTTGCAAGAAATGTATGTCTTTGTTGTGTTCTAGTTCCGTTTCTCTGGCACAGTGACTGATGACAGGTGTTCTTAGAAGTTCTCAGAACAGAGTGATTCGCTCTCAGGGCTTGGCTTGGTGTCCCCTAGTCATGGGACTGTGGGGAGAATTTCAGGGAGGATTTTGCCTACTGGGTTGGATTTACCTTCTGGAGTTGGAAGAGAGTGTTCAGTAAATCTAGGACTCTGGTGGGTTTTTTCTATTCCCTTAAAACATGAACATCCTCAGAGTTGTTTGAGTCAGGCTGGCGATATAGCTCAGCAATTGAGCACTGGCCTAACATACACATGGCCCTGGGTTCGATCTACAGTAATAACAACAACAAAAAAATTATTTATGAAGAGTTTTTTAAAAATATTTTTATTAGTTATTATTGAACCTTTATATATATGTGGTGTGGAGAATCAAACCCAGTGCCTCACACATGCTAAGCAAGCACTCTACCACTGAGCCCCAGCCCCAGCCCACGCAGAGGTCTTATTTTAATTAAGGAAAGTTTTTATCTTGACAAGTTGTGTTTTGTTGTTGCTGTGTAGGTACTAGGTTTTGAACCCGGAGCACTCGACCACCAAGCCACATCCTGAGTCCCACCTCCCTTTTTTCTTTTTAAATTTCAAGGCAGGGTTTCCCAGGTAGCTAGGATTACAGGCATGTGCCAACGCCCCCGTCCTGTCCTCACTCTCAAAGCCTTGTTGGATTTCATTTCACAGACACCCTGTGGACCTTGGGGAAATGGAAACTGAATCCACAGAGAGCAGCTCTGAGTCCCAGACGAGCTCACAGGATAATTTTGTAAGTACTTGGATGTTTCAGATCATAAGATTGAATTTTGAGAGAGTGACCTAAAATTAGGCTTTTGACGAGTCCCACCATTTCCATTTATAGTATAAGGCCTTTGCCCTCTGAATCCAGCATCTGTGTGAGCATTGTCACAAGTGTTGTAAGTGGTGTCCGGCTTGTGCTGGGGAACTACTGGCATAAAAATCAATGCTGAATGTTACTAGATGAGGGATTGCTTTGTCTCTGGGGTTTTGGGTTTTTTTTTATTTTTTTTCTTTTTTATGGTACCAAGTGTTGAGAGCCTACAAATGCCTCGTGGCGGCTCGGTTATTTTGTGCCCAGCCAGACTGCGGCAACCAAGGATTGAACTCAGGGGCACTTAACCACTGAGCCACATCCCTAGCCCTATTGTATTTTCTTTAGAGACAGGGTCTCCCTGAGTTGCTTAGTGCCTCACCATTGCTGAGGCTGGCTTTGAACTCATGATCCTCCTGCCTCAGCCTCCCAAGCCACTGGGATTATAGGCATGCACCACTGTGTCTGGCAGCTAATTAGGTATTTAAAGTTAGGTTTTCTAGGGGGAAACCCTTTAAAGGTAGTATACAGGTTGCCTCATCTCCAGTTCTGTGGATAATGAAGTGGAATTTTTTTTTTTTTTTTTTTTTTTTTTTTGTTTTGTGTTTGTGTGTGTGTGTGTTTCTGAGTTTCAAACCCAGTGCCTTACACATGCTAGGCGAGTGCTCTACCTCTGAGCCACAACCCCAGCCCTGGGTTTTTTTTCAGACTTTCCTGCATAAGTACAATGTACAATGAAAAGATTCCTTTATTATTCTTATAAAGGAGACTACCCAATGTTTTCAAATGGAAATATTCAAGAGTCTTTTTTTAAAATTATTCTTTCTTTTTTTTTTTTAAAGATAGGGAGAGAGAGAGAGAATTTTTTTAATATTTATTTTTCAGTTTTTGGCGGACACAACATCTTTGTTTTTATGTGGTGCTGAGGATCAAACCCGGGCCCAAGGTCCAGCGTTGCCTTTTACTGTCTGCCTTCCTATGTCACCCGTTTGTACACCACACAGTCTGCTTGTGATTAGTAGGTGACACAGGTGTTCAGTAGAGGAACAGCAAAATGTTTGCTTAAGGTGTATACCTTGTTAGACTTTGTCCACTTGCAAAATCCTAAAAATATTTTAAGATTTCTTTTGGCTTATAATTTCACAGGTATCGATCCATGTTAACCTGGCTTTGTTGCTTTGGGCCTAAGGAAAGGCAGAACATGGTGGAAAGACTTGGTAGAGGAAAACTGCTTAGCTTATGCCACCAGGAAAGCAGGAAGTAGGGGGATGGGAAGAGGAAGGGCCCTGGAACCAGATACACCCTTCCAGGGGCATGTCCCCACGCCATCTATTTCCTCCAGTCAGGTGCCACCTCCCAACAGTGCCATCAAATTAAGAGCTGTCAGTGGGCTGATCTGTTGATGATATTAGAGCCTCATAATCCCACCTTTGAACATTGCTGCATTGGAGAAAAACCTACAACCTATGGGCCTAACCCTAACCCTGTCTCAGATCATGGTGTTTTTTTTTTTTTTTTTTTTTAAACTGGATTGAACCCTGGGATGCCTTGCCACTGAACCACTCCTTTTAATTTTTAAGATAGGATCTCACTAAGTTGCGGAGGCTGACCTTGAACTTGAAATCCTCCCATTTTGGCCTTCCAGGTTGCTGGGATTAAGGCTTGTGCCACCATGCCCAGCTTAACTTTCCCTTTTCAGTTAAATTTTTGAAGAAAAAATTTAATTGAAAGGTCATACCCTCACAGGTCAGTTAGGTGATGTCTTGTGTCACAGCAGCTCCTGTTAGGTGAGGCAGCCATGGCTTAGAGGTGTGAGGTGTTCCTTGGGGCAGGAATTTGAAGCTTCCAACTAAAATAAAGTTTATTGTTGTGCATTGGAATCGCTCAGCAAGCCTGCCTCTCTGAGGGACAGATGTGACCTGTGCTTGTGTCTTTTAGGATGCGTATTCTGGCACACCCACCAAGGTCAGACACGTGGACTGCCAAGTGGAAGACGAATTTGATTTGGAAGCTTGCTTAACTGAGCCCTTGAAAGACTTCTCTGCTATGAGTTGACTGCCACCTGGTGGCCACTGGGAGAAGCAGGTGCCATCTCTGGCCAGCTAGAGGTCCGCCAAACATGTAGGCCTGTGATGTGCACTGGTAGCTGGGTGGTGTCTGTCAGTAGTTCATGGTCTTATGATGAGTTGTTGTTCTTGCCTTACTTTCTTAGAAACATTAATTTTGTGTATAGTGAATGTTTTGCATGTTTTAACTTGTAAATGGTGCTGAATCCAAGGAATATTGATTGCGAAGCAGTCTTAAGCAAACTTGGGTGCGTGGTGTTTCCACTCTCAAGTTGGAAAGGCCAGTGCAAGTGAACTAGTTTCCCACAGCCTCCTTAGACTTTTAGTTGCCGCTTGTCAGGTGGGCTGGTTGTAAACTTTACCATGTGTTCTTAGGACCAATATAGGGTGGTTTTCTTTGCAGGTACTTGACAAAGTATATTCAGTGTGAGACATATGATGATTTTGTGGAAATGTGTTTTCTGGCCTTTTATCAATAAATCCAAGTAGTTTTTTTCCCTCCCATACAGAGCTCTGAACAAAGATGTTAAATTAATGGGTTTTATGTAAGTTAAAGTCTCTGATTGGGTACTTGTAAATAGCGCCAGGTAGGTCTTAACTGATGAGACAGTTAAGGCAACAGAGCGACTTAGAATGTTTTTTACAATCAGTTAATTGACAGTGTAAAATTACTGTAAATGATAATGTGTACAGATATTCAATTGTAAACTTGTTAAACTGTTGTGTTTTCATTGCTTTTGTATGGAATGATGTTGCAAAAATAAAAAGGAAAAAACTCTTTTAACGGATCTATGATGTTGCTGGATGGGCTCACTGCCTGGATGAACTTTGTGTAGGGGATTAGAGTGAGCCTCTTGGCATCCCTGAGGTTCTGCTGAGGTGCACAGGGAGAGCAGCCCAGGTTCTGAGAGAACTGAGCCCAGTGCCAATGAGAGTGCTGGCCCGAGTCCCTACCTGCCCCACTGGTGAGGGGCCTTGATAGTCCTGGCTTTGGCATGGGAGCCTGCCCTGATGGGGAGGAAGCTACAAAGGCTGCATTCAGGGGATAAAAATATGGGGGTGGTGATGCTTGTGAGGATGCATTTGAGTGACTTGTCACCCCTTGGGGAGCAGCAAGTGTGGAGCCCTGAGGTGGGAGCGAAGTGTAGACTGCAGTAAAGTTCCAAATGGAGAGGATGGGCAGACTGCCATCTCAGGTGGTGGAATCAGAGACACCAACCTCCACCTGCTCCTGATACAAGCTCTCCAGGCTGCTTGCTGACCACTTCCTGGCTTCTGCTGCCCATGTGAGAGTGTGGGCATTGATAAGCTAAAGGACTGTTGAACACACAGTGTGGGCTTCCACCTCTCCTGATGGCAAAGAAGGTGAAGTTAAGTAAGTGGCTTCCAAGCAAACATCAGGTGCAGAGAGCAGCCAGAGGTGGCCGTGCTGATGCTAAGGGCAGGGCTGCTGACTGCTTGAGGGTCTCAGAGACACCAGGGCTGCTGAGCTCATGAGCTAGTCCTACAGAAGCCTAGGACCCAGAGGCTTCATCTGGAAGGGGGATGGATGTAGCCTTGAATGCCAATAAGATTCACAGGTCTCAAAGCTTCTGGAAGAGGTAGAGAACTGGAAGGGACAGGCATTGGGAAATGGGAAAAGACCTTTGGACCCTCCAGATCCTCTGGCAGGAAGCCGCCTGAGAAAACCCCAGCTGCATTCACAAATATTCCTTAATGGAAAGAAGGTGCTTCTGACAGTGGGCCCAGGATCCAGAGGGCAGAGCCAGGAGCCTGGAGGATTGCCCTGTGCCAAGCCTAGCCGGGAGATTGCTTGTGTGCCCTGCTGGCTGGATTGTGCAATTGCCATGGACTGGGGACCCCAGAGCATATGTCCCCCTCTGTGTTGTGTGTGTGGTGGGGCAGGAAGAGGTACTCATCCTGGGGTGCTGTACTTAGAAGCACATCCAGGAGCCTTGCCACACTGAGCAGCTTCCAATACCATGCCCTGCACTGGGCTGTTGCTGTGATCAAGTGGAATTCTGAGGCCTCGGTGGGGTTGGTGTGTATATCCTCCATTTTGGAGGAATTTAGTTGATTTGTGGCTGGGGTGGGCTGTGGTGGTCTCAGCCCAGGGCAAGGCAGATGAGGTGATGAGGAGGCCAGAGTTGGGGAGGGAGGCTCAGGCTTTGTTGAGGGGTTGGGCAGCTGGGAGCCCTGGTGCACAGGGGAGAGTCCCCAGCTCCTAGCTTTTGCTGCACATTTAAATTCTTGGAAGGCTGTTGAGCACCCAAGGAAATCAATCTTGAGCCTCAGCCCTTGCTTTACTGTGTGAACATAATCTAGTATTCTCTGTATGAGTGTTACAAATAACCAACAGGCGAAGATCAAGTCGTCTTTATTCTTGACTCTTGTACATCGAACCAAGGAGTGTCGGAATTAAATTAAGTGAGTTCAGCATGATTAATTCTTCACATCCCAGGCTGATTGCTATCTCATCCCATTCACCAGTCATCTTCCCGTCTCTGTGTGTAGATGGGGTCAGCTTATCAGGGCTGTCATCCCATGTCCCCTGACTTGCTTTCTCCTTATGTATTGTGCAGCTGTTCATTTCTGGCTGCTGTCAGGATCCTGTCTCAGCAATTCTGCCACCAGGTTGCTGACTCCTCCCTCCATTTGGTAGGAAGATGTCCATCAAGTCTCCCAGGTGAGTCACTTGTCTGAGTTAGCCACCGGGGGCCTTCTGAACCCTGGTGGACAGCTCTTCTGATGAGCTGATGGGTTTTAGGATCTTTGGTTCTCCAGCACGGGCAATTTGGAAGGTCTGCTGGGCTGGGTGCATCAAGTGCTGTGCAGACTGGTACTTGGCCTGTTGGCTTTGAACCTGGCTTGGCAAATAAACATGATTTTATGTTAAAGAATTTGAAGCTGAGTGCACACACATAATCTCAGTGGCTCTGGAGGCTGAGGCAGGAGGATTGCAAGCCAACCTCAGCAACTTAACTTAGTGAGGCTCTAAGCAACTCAGCAAGACCATCTCTAAATAAAATATAAAAAAGGACTGGAGATGTATCTCAGTGGTTAAGTGCCCCTGGGTTTTATCCCTGGTTCCAAAAAAATAAAAATAGGTAAATAAGATTATAGCTCAGTGGTAGAGCAGCCCTGGGTTCAATCCCTAGTAAAGTCAAGTCCCACTCAGGGACTAAGGAGCAGGGTCCTGTGCCTACAGGCAGTGTGAATGCCCAAAGGAACCCCAGAAGACAGAAGTAGACTGCCCAGCCATTAGAAGGATTGCAGCCTCGGTAGAGCAACAGGCAGCAGAGGGCAACTCAAGGAGACAACAGGATGGAGGTGGCTGCTAGAAGTGAATGAGCAGAGGAATGAACAGAAAGATGGGGCTGTGAGTGTGGCTGAGCGGTGGAGCACCTGCCCAGCAAGTGCAAGGCCCTGGGTTCCCCTGCTGGGGGTGGGGTGGGGGGGTTGGGAAAGGGAGAAAAGCAGGGTGGAGCAGGGCCGGGGAAAGAGGCATGCACTAGAAAGAGCTGCCCAGTGGCATGCCATAGGATGTCCACACAGATGGTTCTGAGGAAACCACTCAAGTGGCCCTGCAGCTGCCAACTGAGCCCAGCAAGGCCGCAGGCGCTAGAGCAATGGCTCTGCACACCAGCAAGAGCCTGTGCATGTGGAAACAAGTTGACTTTTGCAGTGCTTTCCAGGCCGGAGTCCTCGGCCACATTCCACAAAGCACCTGTGGGATCCGATGCTTGTGGCTGCACAGCGCCTGGGCTGGGTGCCACTCAGCGCACAGCGCCTGCCTGTGCCGCAGCCAACCTGCACAGCCCCCCAAGGGCGTGGGCTGTGCTCCAGACTGTGCCAGGCTGCTGGGGGTGCAGCGGGGCCCTAGGAGGTGAGCCAAGTAGGGAGGGCCCAGTGGTCAGAGGGGTGTCCTCACTCCTGTGGGTGGACATGGCTAAGTGTGTCCCCTAGGGTGGCACTGTGGGGAGGCCATGGGTCCTCAGTAGGTGGGGCCAGGTGGGAGGTCCTTTTCTGGTGACATGCCCTTGGCCTCCCGAGTCGCTGGGATTACAGGTGGGTGCCACTGTGCCTGACTCTGGCTTCTTTTTCTTTCTTATTTTTGTGAAAAAGGAAAAAGATGGGTTTATTGCTTTGCTGGCAAAGGTTTCTGGTTGGGTGCTCACACTGGGCTCTTTCCACTTGGGTTGGCGGCTCGTTTTGTGTTGGATGGTGCTGGCTTTGCTCACCCCCACAAGATCCAGCGTGGGCTGTGGCCTTCCTGTGTATCCTCAGAAGCAGGGAGTGGGCTGTTTGGGGCACTGATGGATCTCCTGGACAGGTGCTGTACTGGTGTTCCCCACAAAGTGGGCAGAGCACCTGCGGGGATGCTAGGAGGCTCTGCCAGCTGTTCACTGTCAGTAGCTCTGTGCTACCCTCAGCAGTATCCCCACCCACCAGCCTGTGTCAGGGCTTCCAAGAGAGATCGCCCTGGCCCCTCCCTCTGGAGAGAGGGACTGTGAAGGCTTCAGGTCTGAGATGTGCCAGGTCTGCCACAGGCTGTAGGCCTGGGGAGGTATCGCCCGCATCCATGGGCGATGGAATCGAGATCACCCTGCGTGGTTTGGGCTGGCAGCAAAAAGAACACACAGACACGGAAGTAATTTTTTCACAAACCCTGGCGGAAGGGGTGTGGTGGTGGTGGACAGCTCTGCGACCTCCGGGGTCCTCTTCCACGCTGGAAGGCAAGAGAGCAAGTGCACCCGGAATCACTTTATTTATAGGGAAAAGACAAAGGATTTTCAATAGAATATTCTACACCAAATAAAGCAGGGGGTAAGCTTTCAGGGTGCTGTCCAGTCCCACTGGGTAATGCTCAAGCCCAGGGCTGAAGCAAATTCTTTGTCGAGCCAAGGTGAAGGCCACTTGCTTCGAAAAAGCTTGTGGCGTGCAATGCCAGGCCAACACCCCCTTTAATCAAGGCTGAGAGGAGTGCTTAGCTCATGGGCAGGGTGGCCTCCCACAGGGAACGGGCTGGTGTTACCCTGGAGTCTGAAAGCCACGTGCCTCCAGATTTCCCTCTTCATGGGGGATATCAGCCCCCCTGACCTTTATAAAAGTCCTTCAACTGATTGGGCAAGGCCCATCTGTATTGTGCTTTCAGCAGTCTACTGTGATTAATGCTGATCTCATGTGAAACACATCTTCACAGCAACACCCAGACATGCCGACTGAACGTGTTCTGAGGTCAGATGGACGTGGAGTGTATCCTCACGGCACTGTGATGCTTCTGGTCTGAACCGGCCATTGCTATTGTACTACTGTCATGGTGTTCCCTGTGTGGTGACTTGTTAGCTGCTGTCCTAAGGAGGGCTTCTCTTCTTGCCTGTTTGTCAACTTGGCTTAGATTCCTGGATTTTTAGTTTTTTTTTTTTCTTTTTTTGGTACTGAGGATTGAACCCAGGGGTGCTTAACCACTGAGCCACATCCCCAGCTTTTTTTAAAAAATATTTTGAGACAGAGTCTCACTGAGTTGCTAAGTGCCTTGCTAAGTTTCTAGGGCTGGTTTGAGCTCAAAATCCTTGCGCCTCAGCCTCCAAAGCTGCTGGGATTATACGTGTGTGCCACTGTACCTGGCAGATTCCTGGATTTTTATTTCATTCAGTGGACCATGAGTAGTTATTATTATCGTTTTCTTCTTTTCTTTTTTTTGGTACTGGGGATTGAACCTAGGGGTGCGTTACCATTGAGCCACATCCACAGCCCTTTTTATTTTTTGTTTTGAGACAGGGT